CGCACTCGCACACACACACGCACTCGCACTCGCACTCACAATTTCAATTGTTATATCTGTTTATCGCCAGCGTTCTTGCTTTAGCTTTAGTTGTTTTGAGATTTCAAACATCGTGATAGTCATACAATGAAACTGAACTTGCTTTGATATGTTTAAATGTTAAACATATTTCAATAATTTGATTAGTTAACATGCTAAACTAATACGACAAGACCCTTTCCGTCTTTCTTCCCACCAAATTTCTCCTTTCTACTGGATTTGTTCTCATTGTTTTAGCTTTGTTGATGACATGTTGAGCTTCAGTGATAATTAAATTATGAAACGTAACTCAATTTGACACATTTAAGTATGTTATACATATTTAAACCACAAGCAGACAAACAGCTTCAGCAGGACATTTGGAGCCATTATTTCAGTTCTTCATTCATTTCTTACAGGCTTTCTTTTGGATTAACACTCTTCTTTCCGCCCAATTTCTCCTTTTCTTTCTCTCCTCCGCTTTTCGTTCTTTCCTGTCGTTCTCTCCGGCGGCCAGAACTGGGCTCTTCACGCCGGACATGGCCTTTGAGACCATTGTGAAAAGGCAGATTGGGAAGATTAAAGAGCCGTGCCAGAAATGTGTGGACATGGTCATTTCTGAGCTTGTCAGTACCGTTAGACAGTGTACCAAGAAGGTAAAGGCCTGCTGGAGACTTTATGTGTCTCCCATCGACCCAAACTAGTGCTGTGAGCCACCTCTGACCCCCGCCAGCCTCTCGCCCGCTCACGGGGCCGCAGGGGTTTGTGGGTGTTGAGCGTTGTGTGTGTTCGTGTGCCTGCAGCTTTGGACAGAGGGATTCTGGGAGGAATGGCTGCATTACGGAGGGCCGCGGATGCTGAGGTTTCACTGCTTGATGAGCGTAGTTCATAATTTGATTTCCATTTCATTTAGATGATTTTGCTCCAAGCTGGTGACAAAAAAAAAAAATCTGTGAATTTTACAGTTAAAAACGGCAGTTGAGGTTGCTAGAACTTTACTGTAAAATAAAGATTTGTGACCCTGCAGCACAAAAGCAGTGTTAAGTCGCTGGGGTATATTTGTAGCAATAGCCAAATATACATAGTATGGGTCAAAATTATACACAGGTATATTTGTAGCAATAGCCAAAACTACATTGTATGGGTCAAAATTATTGATTTTTCTTTTATGACAAAAATCATTAGGATATTAAGATCATGTTCCATGAAGATATTTAGTAAATTTCCTACTGTAAATATATCAAAACTTAATTTTTGATTAGTAATATGCATTGCTAAGAACTTCATTTGAACAACTTTAAAGATGATTTTCTCAATATTTTGATTTTTTTGCACCCTCAGATTCCAGATTTTCACATAGTTGCAACTCGGCCAAATATTTTCCGATCCTAACAAACCATACATCAATGGAAAGATTATTTATTCAGCTTTGAGCCTTATGACTGGTTTTGTGGTCCAGGGTCACATATTTCATTTACTGTAATAATGTGAATCTGTTTTTTATCTTTATAATGTATTGACACCCACCTTAAAACACGTGTGGTAAAAAGAGAAAGCCACACATGGTAGATATTAATAATATCAGACACACAAATAAAAATATCATTATTTTACTTTGAAGCAATTGTCACTCAGAGATTGCTAGTAAAGTTTATAAAAATACAAAGAAACAGCAAGTAACACATTGAATTAAATGTAAAATGTTGATGTAGAAAGACTGAAGTAGTACTTTCTTGTAAAACACACTCCAAAAACCTTTGTTTTATTTACACATTCAAAAAAAGTATTCTGTTCAGTTATTATTCTGTTTAGTATTCTGTTAAAAAATTTTTTATTTCAATTTCAGTAATTATATTGTGCTTTTGTTTTTTGTATTTCTTCTATTTAGTTTTAATTTATTTTTATTTCAATTTCAGTAATTTTATTGTGCTTGTTTTTTTTGTATTTCTTCTATTTAGTTTTAATTTATTTTTATTTCAATTTCAGTAATTTTATTGTGCTTGTTTTTTTTGTATTTCTTCTATTTAGTTTTAATTTATTTTTATTTCAATTTCAGTAATTTTATTGTGCTTGTTTTTTTTGTATTTCTTCTATTTAGTTTTAATTTATTTTTATTTCAATTTCAGTAATTTTATTGTGCTTTTGTTTTTTTGTATTCTATTTAGTTTTAATTTATTTTTATTTCAGTTTCAGTTTTAGTAATGTTGTTATGTACTTTTATGATGTTTTTAATATATATATTTGTTTTTGTTTTCTTACACTACATGACACTAAAATAATGCAATAAACCTTAATTTAACAAATAAGGCAGTAAAAAAATATTTTTCAAAGTTGCAAATAAAACAAAGATTATTGGAGTACATTTCACAAGAAAACACTTTTAATACTATTTTAAGATTTTTTTTACTTCTGAATTTCACATTTAATTCAATGTGTTATTTATCTTTTTTTGCCATTTCTTCGTGAAATGTACAGTTTGTTTTTACACCATCTTTTTTTTTTTTAGTGTACATAACTAGTAAGAGAAACCAAGAAGCGTGGGAATGTCCATTTACGGGGTTTCATTGTAAATTATAAGATGACGTTACTATTAATACAGAATGTGCATCCATTGCATATTTTCTCACTGGCCTTAAAGAAAATCCTGAGTTTCGAAATCTTTCCAACATGACCCGAATGCACCATCACTGTAAACCAATTAACAGGGTAGCATTTTTACCGTTATAGTTGCGATCGTTTCTTACAGCATAGCATCCAAAACCCAACACTGTGCTTTTGTTCTGATGAAGGATGGGCTCATCCAGCAGACCTCAGCGTCCCAAACTCTCCGTGTTTTAGAGGCAGAGGTTTTGAGGAAGGCTGAGATGCAGCTAAAGGCAGTCCGCTCTCCTGCGAGTGTAATTAGATCAAACTCTTGGACTGTCTTTGGTTCGCACAGCTGCGTTCTGGAAGCTTCTGTCTCGGGGCTGTTGAATGGCTTGAGGAGAAACCAAACGTCTGACTTGCCTTCTCTTTCCTCTGTGCTGTCTGTCTGTCGTTCTTCTTCCTCTTCCTCCATGACTTCCTCTACAGGACAGGCCTGTTCACCCCCGACCTGGCCTTTGAGGCCATAGTGAAAAAGCAGATCCAAAAGCTAAACGGGCCGTGCCTGAAATGTATAGATATGGTTGTGAGCGAACTGGTCTCCACCATTCGCAAATGTAGTGAGAAGGTAAAGCGGAAAGAAGCTCTGTTCGTCCGCGTCTATCTTAAACGTACGGATAGACCGATGGCTGGACTTGACATGATCTGTGGTTGTGAATGTCGGTGGTGTTTTACCCTGAAGTAGGTGATAATAATATAAAAACAGGGCTTTTACAGTTTAAAGGAATAATTCACACACACACACACACACACACAAAGATCATTTTGCCATCATTTACTGTCGTTCCGAACCCGAAACATTAAAGGTGTGTAAATGATGACAGAATTGTCGTTTTTGTGTGAAATGCTGCTGCCGTCGTTATGATTTGAGCTTCAGTGCTGCTTCATGATCATAATCATCTTTACATTCTGCGTTTATCTGTTCTCCTCATTCTGCTTGTCTGGTGCATTGCATTGGCACTGTGAAGTTTAGACGTTTATGTGATTTTGTGTGATTGAGGATCAGCTGAAGACGGATGTAATGGTGTGTTTGTCAGCTGTTGTTCAGATTTGTAGAGGAGTCATGAATATTTGTCCCTTGAGTTATAATTATTGTAACTTTTACGTTTTAGAAGCTGTCCATGTGTTGGTTTTAGTATTATTTATATAAACTACTATAGAATTTATTAATATTCTGAATTAGCTTTTATTTTATATTTTGTTTTCTTTTTAATTCCAGTTGAAGTTTTAGTAGTTTTGTTATGTGCTTTTGTAATTTTTTTTTTGATTTCTTCTATTTAGCTTTAATTTATTTTTATTTCAGTTTCAGTCATTTTTTTGCGCTTTTTATTTTTTAAATATTTATTTTATTTTATTTAGTTTTAATTTATTTTTATTTCAGTTTCAGTAATTCTTTGTGTGATTTTGTTTTTTTAAACTATTTCTTCTATTTATATATATTTAGAATATATTTATATATATTCTACATAACTAGTAAATATGTTATGTGCTTTTGTATTTAAAAAAAATATTGTTTATATTTAGCTTTAATCAAATTTTTTCATTTTCAGTTTTAGTAATTATGTTATGTGCTTTTGTATTTTTGGTTTATATTTCTTCTATTTAGCTTTAATTTATTTCTTTTTCAGTTCCAGTAATTTTTTATGTGCTTTTGTAATTTAAAAAAAATTATTCTATTTAGCTTTATTTTTATTTCAGTTTCAGTAATTTTTTATGTGCTTTTTATTTTTTTTTTATATTTCTTCTATTTAGTTTTAATTTATTTGTATTTTTTATTTTCAGATTTAGTCATTTTATGTCCTTTAAAAAATATATATATTTCTTCTATTTACAGTAGCTTTAATTTATTTTTAGTAATTTTAGCACTTCAGCTTAAACTTATTTTAAGTCTGTTGCCAAGGCAATATTTATAATTGTCCTAATTTAATTTAATTTAATTCCAGCTTTATTTCATTTAGCCTAACAAAAACAATTTTTAATAGTTTTAATTTTAGTTAAACACAACACTGATGTGCACACTTTACATACAGTACAAGTGCTAATCAGGTCACGTTGCAAATATAGTCTGTTTAAATCAGTGCTTCAGGACGCTGTCTAGCAATGTCTGTAACAAGAATAGGGTGCATATCAAAACATGTCCAGGTCATATTTAACCTGAATTGTTTTGTTGTTATTGCATAAAGATGGCTCTCTTTTTTTGATTTGAGAGAGTGTGCTCTCTGAAGATCAGATATCATTACACTAGGGATCTACAGTATCGTCTGTTTAGGGATCGAGCCATATTTTCTTCTCAGATTTTGCTCATGTAAATGTAGAATAGATCCATCAGTCCAGCAACTATCGGTCTATCCTTACCACTCAGTTTTCATCCTGCTTTATTTTGTCTGTGTTCATTTAATTTACTAAGTACTAGTGCTGGGCGGTATACCGGTTCATACCGAATACCGGTGTTTATTTTTATGATATGAATTTTTAAAATTTGTTTTAATGACGCATGCTCCCTCGTGTGGCGTTGTCTCAGTTAATGTTGGTTCTGTCAGTGTGTGTGTGTTCGTTCTGGCGTGAGAATAACGTCATTGTGGCTCGTCTCTTCTGTTTGACTCTCATGGAATAACTGATGCTTCAAGCTGGAAGATCTTCTTACACCAGCAGACTAACCGTCACACCAGAATATCTCTGTGTCTCTCTTTCTCTCCTCTTTCATCATTTCATCATCCCTCCAACATCTTATTCTGCCTGTCTAAAAAACAGAAGTTAAAGAAAAAGCTCATCCAAAAAAATTTACTCACCTTCACCTTCCAAACTCTTATATTGTTGTTTTTTCCTTAAAGCACAAAAGGAGATTTTCAAGCTCCAAAATAGAGCTCATAAAAGCACCATATATGTAAGATAACAATCATATGACGCTTTGCGTGAGGAACAAATGATTTGCTTCAGATTGAAGCTTACTCAAATGTTGCACACATGCATCATTACAACTCGATTCACGAATGAGGAAAACACAATAATTCAGTCGGTTTTATGTCGTTTTTGGAGCTTGACAGAACTCAAAAAGAGCCGCATGACGATTTTTCACGAATTCTCCTTTTGTGTTAGAAAAAATGAGCATCGTACGTGTTTGGGACGACACAAAGGCGAGTACATGAAGTGTGGACTGTCAGTAATGTCGTCCGAGTTGATTCGGTTGTATTGTATGATATAAACAGATGCAGCATGTGCTGAGGCTGTGTGAATCCGCCTCTATTCTCAGTAACCTTCATCTCCTTCGTTTCGCCTGTAGCTCCTCTAGAAACACTCATTTCTACTGCTCCCTGCTCATGTGATGTTTGACTGCGAGACGCCATCAGTGCATCCCTGAGTCTGAGGCACAGCAAGCCCAAATACTCTGCTGGTGTAGTGGTGTGTGTGGGTGTGTGTGTGTGTGTGTGTGTGTGTGTGAGATTCCACACTGACTACAAGTTCCAATGCATCAGCTGGTCATACAGACATTTAGATTAGAAGTAAAAGGAAGTCCCAACAGACTAAAAAGAAAAAAAAGAATTAGGTACAGCATATTTGATCTCTTTTCTTCAAACTGGTGATATGTTTTTATGTCTTTATTTTCTGCCTGTACCTTTAAGCACTTTTGGGTTGAGAATTGGGGTAGTTTTTTTTCTCTACTTATTTATTTTCAAATCGTTCTGTTCAATTATTATTACTCCGGTGTGAGTTTTTGTTTCATGCATTTTTGTTATAATGCAAGTTTTACGTGTTTGCATTTTAAAAACGTGTAGTTACAAATTATCCTTTGCTGAAATTCCGAATTCTAGCACATGTTGCAAATATTACAGTATTCAACATCAACAGTTGACTCATTATTAATACCCTTGAGTATGATTCATGTGCAGAACTCCTGGATTTGGCTCAATTATGGGACACTGCAAAGCTAAGAGGGTCACCAATAATAAGTATTTTAACTACAGTGATGCACTGAAATTTAGAGTCATGCATGTATGCATGCAAACCAGTTTCTTAGTGTCAGCTCGTTTTCTGTTCACATGCATATATAATGTAAAATTATGTTTAATAGTGTGTTGATACTGTAGACTTTGCAACAGGTTTTCTTTCAAAAATGGTTCCTTGGTCATTTATGCCTACTGTAGTAGCATCCTGTTGCAAACTCTGGTGTGTGTTGGTGATACGGGTGAGTGTATGGTGTTTGGCATCACAAGCGCGTGTGATTGTGTCACAGCTGGCCCAGTATCACATGCTGAGAGAGGAGCTGGAGCGGATCGTCACGCAGCAAATACGCGACCGCGAGAGCCGCACTAAACAACAGGTGAGCCGCGTCACGTCTAATATAAACGTCTTTTAAACAGCTCTTCATTTCATCATTTCCTCTTTGTGGTCGTCAGGTGCTGCTGCTGATCGACATCGAGCTGGCGTATATGAACACCAACCATGAAGACTTCATCGGATTTGCCAAGTGAGTTACGTTTCCTCGACCTTTAACCCCAAATGACTCAATATAGTGCCACAATTATTAACCCTAATCATACAAAGGGATCAAAACGACCATAAAAATCAAATATTAAACTATGTAATTAATTAAAATAGTATTAAAAACGATGATAATATAATATGTATGCAATAAAAATATTTGAAATTATAACATTATTATTAGCCAAGCAATTCATGTTTCCTGGACCTCTAACATGGTTCACTGGACATCAAGTGACCAAACATAGTGCCACAATTATTATTATAATAACAAGAGTAATAATAATAATTTCTAAAAATTAAACTGATAATATTAATCATACATAATAATAAATAATATAAAATGATACATATATTTTTAAATAATAATAATTATTATTACTAATATTACTAACATTAAACTATATTCATTATAAATAATAAATAAATAAATAATATTATTAATTAATAATTTTAATAATTTTATTATTATAAGTTTTATCATTAGCATTAAACTGTTAATATTAATTATAAATAATAATAAATAAATAATATACAAATTATTTTTTAAATAATAATAATTATTATAACTATTATTACTAACATTAAATTATATGAATATTAATTATAATATTAATATTAATTAAAAATAATAAATATAATATAAAAATACAATTATTATTATTATTATTTATAATTAATATTAATATATCCCCAATGACATTCAGGCATTTTAAGTACTCTTTTGGGCCACTGTATGTACTGTATATAACAGATTTTAAGCTGATTGAAGTTCAACTCTGTCCTGTATAGTGCTCAACAGAGAAGCAGTCAGATGAACAAGAAGAAAGCGGCTGGTAACCAGGTGAAGGGGGTTGAATTACATTTTATATTCATTATTTCAAGACGATATTAATTTCTCTGTGCATGCTGAATCCCGTCATGTGTTGAATGTTAAACATGCTCATCTGATGTGTGTCCAGCGTCTGCCTTTCTCTGTTCCTCATCTGTGTTTCTTATTCTTTATCTTGATGCCCTTATCAACTGATCCAGGGCCAGGTTTGTTCTCATGCTTCTCTCAGTTCACATACAAGCGTTATCTCAGAACTGATCTTAGATCAGGCGTCTCAGGAGCGTTCCGGGTTCAGTCTAGATTATCGGCATTTCAATATAACTTTAAGTGAAAGCTGAGAAGACGGAGAGATGTTCTGCTTCGCTTAAATCAGTTGTTAAGGGCAGCGAGTGACAGCATGATGTGTGTGTTCATGTGTGTAAAGTCCTGTTCTGTTCACACACACATTATATGACCGTAGCACGAGGCAGATGCAGACCTTCACTTCTACAGAGGGAGACTCTCATAATCAGCGTATTGATCTATAGATGTGTTTTTTGATGTTTTTGAAGACATGAGCCCCAGCAGATGCTTGTTAGGTGGAGGAGATCAATGCAGAATAGTGCAAAAATAGAGTATTAAATGCAAATACGGGGTGTAAACCGGACGTTTCATCACAAGACAATATGACATCAGTTCTCTTAGATATTGATAAGATATTTGCTGATATCACAAAACATGCCGTGATACAATTATGATTCAGTGCGTATCGATATTACAATATTATGTGCCTGTTTTACACAGTTACATTTTATTCATTCACAAATGCAACCAAAATATATACTGTGAACTTTTAATTGAACTCTCTGACATGACGTGGGTTTTTGTCTATCTGTGCATTTTTTTATTAAACGCAAAATACTTCTAAACTCATGATTTGTGTCCGACAGGAGAGGACACGGTCTGTTTACCTGCGCCAGTCCCTCACTAAATTCATAATTTAGCACGGTTTTAGCATCGGCAGAATATAAAATGGGTCAAATATATTACAATACAAGCATTTCAGTCAAATACAATTTGTGAAATATTTCAAACTTTAACCTGTTGGAAAAAAAACAATCCGTGGCAACAGTTTAAAAGGAACCCAATTCCACGGAAAATCTGCAGACTTTGCAACCCTGTTCATAGTGAACCCCACAATTTGTTTTGCTGCCTGTTTTTTCTGTTTTCAATACTGTGTTCTCTTTTCCTGTTCTGTGTTTCTCTTGGTTTACTCTGGTGCATCAGGATGAAATCATGGTAAGTAGTCTGTGTGTGTTTCCTAAGGCATACGTGTTGATCACAGTAATTAAGGTCTCTTCATGAAGACTGCACTCAGATCAGACATGTGAAACCGTGATGCATGTCTAGTCTACATCTGTGTGTCTGTATGCAGCAGTTGCATAAGACGCTTTCACTGCACAAGCAAACTCATGAAACCCTGAAGCCGTAGCGTCACTGAAGACGTCAGTCAAGCGTAATGACTGTATAGTGTGCACTACAGAGGGTTTGCTTTTTATCTTCATGCCACAAGCGTGTTCTGTATTTAAGTCCAAACACTCATTCACTGCAGTATTTCATGCAGCTTTTCTGCTCTCACCGAGCTGTCGTTCAGTGTTAAAGGGATAGTTCACCCAAAAATGAAAAGTACCCCATGATTTACTCACCCTCAAGGCATCCTAGGTGTGTATGACTTTATTCTTTCAGACGAATCCAGCCGTAGTTATATTAAAAAATGTCCTGGCTCTTCCAAGCTTTATAATGGCAGTGAATGGGTGTTATTTTTCAATAGTCCAAAAGAAGTCCAATAAAGCGCATCCATCCCTCATAAAAAGTGCCTCACACAGCTCCAGGGGTGAATAAAGGCCTCCTGAAGCAAATTGATGCGCTTTAGTAAGAAAATATTCATATTTAAAAAGTTATAAACAGCAATCTCTAGCTTCTGCTAGCTGTCGTACGCGCGTTCATTCCGGCGGATGACGTAGGCATAGCGTAAGATCCGGAGAGAAGTGGCGAATGCGGAAGCGCAGCGGAGAGAGCAAAACAAAACACTGGTCACGAAAGAAAAATGTGGGAGGATTTCGATATAAGCCGAGAGGAGACTGGTTTTCCTTTGCTAAAGTAAAGACACTTTGCTTCCTTTGCTCCTGTAAACAAACGTCGGTTCTCGCGAGACGAGCATATTCTCACCGGAGCTTACGCTACGCTTACGTCATCCGCCGGAATGAACGCGCGTACGACAGTTAGCGGAAGATAGAGATTACGGTTTATAACGTTTTAAATATGGATATTTTTCTTACACAAACGCATCGATTCGCTTCAGGAGGCCTTTATTCACCCCTGGAGCTGTGTGAGACACTTTTTATGAGGGATGGATGCGCTTTATTGGACTTCTTTTGGACTGTTGAAAAATAACACCCATTCACTGCCATTATAAAGCTTGGAAGAGCCAGGATATTTTTTTGTATAATTCCGATTGGATTCATCTGAAAGAATAAAGTCATACACACCTAGGATGCCTTGAGGGTGAGTAAATCATGGGGTACTTTTCATTTTTGGGTGAACTATCCCTTTAAGATGAGATAAACCTGTCAAGAACACGTCTGGCCATATTTCACCCCAAAATCAAAAAAATTATATTTATATACAAAATTATATTTTGTACAAAGAAAAAAATATTTTAAGGCTATTTAAAATTGAAAATGGCATGAAAGTAAAAACAGCAGAAAACCAACATGAATACAAAGAACTTGCTATATGCGTTTAAAACTAGATTTGTCTTTTTCATTGTCTCAAACATCCTTATGTGTCATTGAACCTGTTTTACTCAACAACAGTTCATTGTAATTAACAGAAGAGAAAATAAAATACAGATTATAATTCATATTATATCACAATTTGTATTATAACTTTTTAAGTGCTCACTTCATGGAGAAGAGCCTGATTTGTTTGCTAAATGGTTTCTAGTGATGTATTTATTTATCTGTCCACTTGAGGCAGAAGCGAGTCAGTACAGTACAGCAATCCAGAAGTACATTTACATGTGTCAGTCACACACACACACACACACACACACACACACACACACACACTATGCCTAGAAACGGCCCTGCACACACACACACACTCACTCTGACTCTCACTCACTCAGGCACTCTCACACACTCACACTCACTCACACACACACTCACACACTCTCACATACACACACTCTCAGACACACACACACACACACACACACACACC